AGAGAAATTCAGCACAGATTTAATCATTATTCCTGGGGGGAGTGACCTCATAATTATATGTATGGAGTATTGTTATAAACAAGCCTTTTAAGCATTGTTAATCAAAGGCAGATTAGGAAGGAGCTACAAATATGTGATTACAGGCTGATTAAAAAAGCCTTAAAGTACGGGTCCGGCTTCAGAATCACATTGTTAGTGCCAACTGCATCAGACTGGTTGTTGTTTTTTTTTTTTTTTTTTTTTTTAAAAGATTTATTTATTTTTTTGAAAGGCAGAGTTACAGAGAGGCAGAGGCAGAGAGAGGGCGAGAGATCTTTCATCTGCTGGTTCACCCCCCAAGTGGCTGCAATGGCTGGACCTGGGCCGATCTGAAGCCAGGAACCACGAGCTTCTTCCAGGTCTCCCACACAGGTGCAGGGGCCCAAGTGCTTGGACCCTTTTCCACTGCTTTCCCAGGATACAGCAGAGAGCTGGATTGGAAGTAGAATAGCCGAGACTTGAACCAGTGCCCATGTCGGGGGACTGGGGAGCAGGGAGAGAAAGAAAGAAGTCTTCCATCTGCTGGTTCACTCCCCAAATGTCCATGACAGCAGGGGCTGGGCCAGGCTGCCATCAGGAGCCCAGAACTCTACCTAGGTCTCCCAGGTAAATGGTGCAGCCTCAACCACTTAAGCCACGCTCTGTTGCCCCCAAGGCTGCACAGCCTCCCACAGAAAACCTGCACTGTTAGGGAGCTGTGCCTCGTGCGTGTTGGGTGGCTGCTGAGGGTGACTCCGGGGCTGGAGACATTGCTGTTGAGGCCTGTGAAGGGATTGAAAAGGAACTCACTTCATAAGCCGAGCATAGGGGAAGAGAACACTTTATGATTAATAGAATTTTTAATTTTAAATTTGTCTACATACATATACAGAGCGAGGAGGACTTTTTGGTCTGCATCCACAATAATCACATATTCCCCTTGGCACAGGCCACTGGTTGGGGCTTTCTTACTGCCCAGCTGCCTTCAAGAGGGGATTGGGTCACCTTCCGTTCCTGGTTTCCTAGGTTACCTGCTAATCCTTCCTGGCTCTGGGGTGGGGGGGAATTGGGTAGAGAGGAGGCTAGGGCGGAGAGGGGCCTCCTCCCCCTCCCTGTTTTCCCTGCACTCTTGCTGTGCTTTCCCTGCCAGGCAGCAGGGCTGGGCCAGGGGCTCCGGAGAGTGCTGGGGAGATCACAGTTTGTACCACGTGGTTTGCTTCCTGCTGCAGACAGCGGACCCTATGGAGCATCTGAATTCTCTTTAAGTAGATTTATTGTATGAAATATTCATCGGAGCGGGCTTGGCGGTGAGCGTTCGGAACAGTGTCCCGAGCACAGTTTGTCCTCGTGAATCTATTAATGCTGATGGGATGCAGTTATCGCTGGGAAGGCTTTGGGGAGAGGTGGGGCTGGGGAGGGGGTGAGCTGGCCCTGACACTCCCTTTTCTCCCTGAGTGGGACTGGCAGGCCCTGCGCCCTGTTCCTGTCTCTTTCTTTTACATGGGCACAGAGGCTGCCGCTTCTTTGAGACCCCTCTCGTGGGCTTCCAGCCTCCTGTCGCCTTGCAGCTGCCTGGTGTGGCTGGCGGTGCGCGGACGCTCCGAGGGAAATGCTGGCTCGTGAGGAGGGGGCACTCGGGCCTTGGGCGGAGGGGCGGGGGCTCTCACACTTAGGAGGAAGAGCAGCAGGCGTCCCATGCTTGTCCCAGATCATCCTAGCAGCCCCCATAGATGCAGGTGTTTTGATTCCTGTGTTACCCGTGAAGGTGTTGCAGCTCAGAGAAGCAGCTTGCCCAGAGTACAGTTCATTTCATTTAGCAAACTTGTACTGATGGCCTCTCGTGTAGCCAGTGGCAGCCTCTGGCAGGGCCTGGTCCAGCAGATGCAGAGACAGAGACCTGGTGCACGGGTCCTGCAGCATCAACGAAGCCTGGCATGAGTTCAGGTGCGGGAAGGCCCTGAGGAATTGTGGGAGGCTGTGGGGAGGCAAGGATGTGAGCCACAAAGCTAGGGCCAGCTGGCTTGGTTCAGTTCTGCCCAGTCACTGGGGGAGGGTATGGGGGTGGCCAGGGCCCTGCCTGCAGGTGCTCCTAAGCCTTGCTAGGGATTTGGGCCATGTCTGAAGCAATGAGGAGCTCTTGGGGGGTGGTTTTATTTTATTTTTATATGTTTAGTTTTATTTGAAAGTCAGAGAGAGAGAGATTTTCCATCTGCTAGTTCACTCCCCTAAATGCCCACAACAGCCAGGGCTGGGCCCAGCTGAAGCCAGGAGACTGAAACCCCATCCTAGTCTCCAATGTGTTAGCCACAGGGACCCAAGTACTTGAGCTGTTATCTGCTGCCTCCCAGGGTACATATCAACCGGAAGCCGGCCCAGAAGGGGACCCGGTTGTGAGCCCAAGGACCCTGGCACGAGATGTGGGTGTCCCAGGTAGCATCTTAACTGCTGCACCAAACACCCACCTCGTTGGAAGTTCTGAAGCCAAGGATAGAGAGACATGGGTTTGTGTATTTGGAAAATAACTCTGGGGGTACAGCCGAGGCTGTTGGCATGGGTGAGGTAGGAGGCAGGGCAACCTGTGAGGGTGGTCATGGGGCAGGGCTGAGAAACCTTGGTGTTTGTGTTGGGAACTGGTTTGGATTCTGCACGTCAAGCTGGGAGGCCGCAAGAAAGAGTCGAAGCAAAGAAGCAGAAAAGGGATGAAGGAAGAGTAGCACCTTGCAAGAGAAATGTTCCAAAATAAAGGATCTGAAGAGTTACGTAAAACACGTCTCAGGGAGTGATGAGGACCAGCGCAGTGTGAACGTTTTCTAAGTTTAACAGAAGTTTCAGGGCCCTTGGGGGTAGCAGCAGACACTTCATGTGAGCTAAAACAAATACAGGATGAAGAGAAATAGAAGGGAGGTGTTTGAGAATATAGACCAAAGTGGCCAGTGTTGTGGTGCACAGGGTTAAACCACCAACTGTAGCACTGGCATCCCATATGGGCACCTGTTCTGAGTGCCGGCTGCTCCACTTCCTATCCAGCTCCCTGCTTAGTGCACCTGGGAAAGCAGTGGAAGATGGCCCAAGTCCTTGCTTCCCTGTAACCATGTGGGAGACCCAGGTGCAATTTCAGGCTCCTGGCTTGGGCCTGGCCATTATGGTCATATTATGGTCACCAGAGAATAGAAGATTCTCTCTTTCTCTTTCTCTGTAACTCTGCCTTTCAATAAATAAATATATCTTAAAAAAAATGTAGACCAGAACCCCAAGCAGGGGAAAGCAGACAGGGCACTTACCACCACTGCACAGCTGTGATGTGACCACTGAAGGCTCTGGAAGCGGCTGTGCGGGTGACCCTGGGACCCTAGACCCACTCAGGGAAGAGGGGAAGGCAAATGACAGAGCCCACCTGTTCGACAATTCCCCAGACACCCCCTACACCTGTCCCGCTGGCAGGTCACCGGCAGCACCAGCTGGCCGACTGTGGGTTGACGTGGCTCCACCTTTCGCTGTTGGCACCATGTAGGTGGGTTTGCGGCTGGGAGTCAGTGTGATGGCAGCTGGCAGGCTTGTCCTGTCTTGTCCGCTATCAGGGAAGAGGGCTGCAGGACGAGGGTCGCCATCTCTTAGGAGGGTGGAGGAAGAAAGAGGTGGGATCCCCAGGCTTCTGGCTCCATGTAGAGAGGATGCCGTGGATGCTGCTGGGCACTTGGAGTGGCAGGAAAAGCTTGCAGGACCGACTCGAGCAGCGGGCATGGGAGTTTGGTGTCGTTTGAGGCCAAGCTGTGTGTGGGATGGACTTCTGATCTTCTGGAATACAGTCAGCTGGGAACCCCACCCCCATTATTACTCATGTTTAATCACTGGTCCTGCCATGTCTTCCTGCCTTGTCGGCTGCTGTTGAGGGACAAGGATGTGTTTATAGGGGAAGGACTGGTGGGGCTGGGGCTCTGGAGACTGTACACCCATTAGCCCTGGGACCTGAGTGCTGGGACCTGTCTGGGTGTTTGCTTTCTCATCTGTAATTTCTAAATAAACTTTTTAAAAAAGAGATTTACTTTATTTATTTGAAAAGCAGATTAACAGAGAAAGAGGGAGAGACAGAGAGAGAAAGAGATCTTCCCCCTGCTGGTTCACTTCCTAGATGGCCACAACAGCCAAGACTGGGCCAGGCTAAAGCCAGGAGCCAGGAGCTTCATCTGGGTCTCCCACAAGGGTGGCAGGGGCCCAGGCACCTAGGCCATTATTGGGGAGCTGGATTGGAAGCGGAGCAGCCGGGACTTGAACTGGTGCTCAGATATGGAACATTGGCATCACTAGCGGTAGCTTAACCCGCTGCGCCGCAACGCCGGCCCCCTCATTTGTAATTTGGAGGCTGTTAGCGTTATGCCTGCCTCACTGAAGTCCTGGTCGTCCTGGGGATCCGTGTGCAGCGTCTGGGGCTCCACGTGACCTGGGTGCCTCGAGGACAGCAGCGCCCGGTCTTCTCACTGCTCTCATGGCTCCCCGCAGTGTCGGGAATGCTCGGGAGGGGCTGGTTGAGTTGGTGGCTGCGGATACCCGATACCGTGGCCCTGACCATTTTCCTGGGGCCAGGTCCTTGCATGGCTCGCCCTCTTGGGCAAGGAGAGGAGAGCTGGAGTGCCTGGTGGTGCTGCAGGACACAGGTCGAGGCCCCCGGAAGCTACCCTGCCCGCAGTGGCATCAGCCACCGTGGCCTGCTGGGGACCCTGGGTTCTAGGACCACCCCTTTGATGTGGTTTCCAGTCGCTGGGCACAGCGCTGCCTTCGGGGTGGCCCAGCTTGAAGCTCAGTGGCCCCATTATTCCTTGTTGCCTTAACTCCCACTTGCTTCCTAACCTCTGCCTGCTGTGCGCGGACCCCAGAGAGGCCCAATTTGTTTCTGCCTCTGTGGGCCCGTGTGCGTGCTGGGCGTCTGGCGCTAAGGGCGAGGGCCCAGTCACTGACCCGTGTGGTTTTCTTGTGCCCCGCTGCAGGTCATCTTCCACGATGTCGCTGTGCTCACGGACAAGCTCTTCCCCGTCGTGCAGGCCATGCAGAAGCACTTCAGTGCTGGCTCGGGGACCTACTACAGCGACTCCATCTTCTTCCTCTCGGTGGCCATGCATCAGATCATGCCCAAAGGTAACGTGGACTGCCCGGGGCCACAGCCCCGGGATGTCTGATTTTTTGCACATGTCCATGCCTCCGGTACCACCATAGCCCATGTCACTGAAATGTGAGTGAGAGAGCTAGGGGCCCAGCCAAGCCCTTTGTACAACAGAGCTTCCTGCACAAAAGTCAAGGTTGCATAGCTCTGGGGACCCATTCCTATGCACATGGCATGAGTGGTGCAGTTCGCTGGCCCTGGGCTCGGGGAATCTGGGGCACAGAATCTTAGGGAAACACTGCAGACTTGTATTGATTGATTGTCACTTGCTAACACCTTGCCCTTCATTTCCTAACTTGGCTGGGTTCAGGAAGGCAGCTGGGTCATGGGGGGTGCCACAGGTCAAGCCTGGTCAAGTTCTCTTTGGGCTGTATGGGACACTGGAGTTGGAGGGGAGTGAGATGCTTAAACTACCCTGGCAACTCATGCAGACCTCGGTCCCTGACACAGACCAGGCGCTCCCTGCACCACCACCCCAGCTGCTGGGAGAGTCGTCCTTTGGGTCACCTTGCCTCTGTGTGGTGCACACGCGTATGTGTGTGTGCATGTAGCCATGGATCCATAGCAGATTTGCTTAAGATGATGCCAGTTTTCTATGACACGTGTGTGGTAAATTCCAGGCTGTATTAGAAACAGGAAGCTGAGGCTTTTTAAAGCACCTCCTGTCCCCTTCCTCGTGCTGTCTTAACGTGACCGTAATGTCCTCAGTCTGTCGTCATCCTGCCCTCCCCTTTGCGAGCTGTCGACCGGTGCCCACCGGTTCTGGAGGCTGGAGTGACTAATGTGTCCCCACGCTGTTGGTGACCTCAGACAAGAAGTGCAGTGGTTCCCTGGGCTGGCAGCGTCAGCATCCAGGCTGACAGTCCCTGTGTCCCCGTGTAGTGCAGGGGTGGGGGCTGGCGCAGGAAAGGCTTTGCAGGGGGAAGGTGCTGGAGAGAGATGCTGGCACAGTGGAGGCAGCCTGGGCTTGGGATTGCGTGTGCTGCTCTCTTGAATGGTATCTGGACCCCAGAAAGCTTTCCAGTGGGGTGGGGGTGGGTGCGGCCACTCCCGAAACAAGGCTGTTGAAGGCCAGGAATGTTCGGTCCCTGGTGCTGGTGTTCATTTTTTTAAAGTCAACTAATTAGTAAGTTGATTCTTTAAATGAAGAGAGAAAGGGGAGAAAGAGAGATTGTCCATCTGCTTGTTCACTCCCCAAATACCCACAACAGCTAGGGCTGGACCAGGCCAAAACCAGGAGTCTGGAACTCAATCCAGGTCTCCCGCGTGGGTGCCAGGGACCCAAGGAGTTGAGCCATCACCTGCTGTCGTCCAGGGTGTACATTAGCAGGAGGCTTGATCAGGATCATTGCTGGGATTTGAACTTGGGTACTCTGATGTGGGATGCGAGTGTCTGAAATGGCACCTTAACTGCTGCACCCGGCACCTGCCACCCCACACTCAGGCTGGTGCAGGACACTGGAGTGAGCAGGGATCCTGGGCAGAGGAGAGTTAGGAGCGTCTTAGGGAGGCTGAGTGGAACCTCCTAGCTTTTTCTGCTTCACTGTCCTAGCGCCAAGGATGACAGTCCCAGTGCTCCACAGAGGGCTGGGGGTGGAGCTCCTGGACATTCCAAGGAGCCATGCTCTGTCTCCCTCCTCATGCCTCAGTGGCTTAGCAGTAACCTGTGGGTGTTCACTCTCTGCAGAGCCAGAGTGCAGGCTCCGAGAGCCCGGGAGGATTGTCTTTGAGTCATAGGCCACTCCTTTGTGTCTTAATTTCTGAAATCCTTTAATTGGCACCTACATGGACTAGGTCAGTTTGGGAGAGGTGCTAGGTACATCTCCATGGCTCCCTGTACACTGAGCTTACACACCAGTTGGGAGAGAGCCCATTCCCAGTCTTCTCTCCCTGTGCTCTCTCCTTGGTCCTCGACACAAGATGCCTTGGTAATAACAAATGTGCTTACCTTGTCCCCAGGGATGATCTCATCCCATGTAAGCCAGAAAGGAGCTATAATCCCCCCCCCCGCCCTTTACAGGTGAGGAAAATGCAGCAGGAGCACCCTGTGGCTGCCTGACCCCAGGGCTTGCACTCTTTAGTAGGAAAAGGAGATTTGGATGATCCACAAATCTCCGAAGTTAATTATAAGCTATCCTGATAACTTTCATTCGAATAAAGTTTCTAAGACAATGAGCAGTGCACAGCCAAGAATAACCGAGCACAAAGAAAACAAAATTCAGTGAGTGAGAGCCACAAAATAAGAGATGGCAGAAGTAGCCCTGCAAGACTGTAGCTGTTAGAATGGTCAGAGGTGGGTTGTAAACAGTGTGTGCTGACCATGGTTGAAGAAAAGAAAAGCGAGCTTGAAAGTACCTTCAGAAACAGGAAACTGTAACAAGTGACCTAGCATATTTGAAGCAGAACCAAATGGAACTTCTAGAAAAATAAAGGGTAATCAAAACAAAAAGTTATAAGCACTAATTAAGAAAAATTTTACAAATGCATATTATTAAAGGCAACCCATGTGCTAATTCCTACATTTTGTGTTTCTTACCCATGTTCTATTCTCCTCTCCAAGAATGGGCTCTGTAAATAGATACTTTTCTGTTTTTTTTTTTTTTTTTTTTATAGTTTATTTATTTGAAATGAGGGTGAGGGAGGGAAGACAGAGAGATGGGCAGACAGACAGGCAGGCAGAGAGAGGATTGAGATTGAGATTCTATTTGTTGGTTCACTGCCCCAAATGCTAAAGCCAGGAGCCTGTAGAACCATCCGAGTCTTCCATGGGGGTGACAGAGACCCGAGCACTTGCCATCACCTGCTGTCTTCCCAGGTGCACATTAGTAGGAAGCTGGGTTGGAAGCAGAGGTGGGACTTGATCCCAGGCACTCTGATGTGGGATGTGGGCGTCCTGAGTGAGCAAGGGGCGGCTTAACCCATTGTGTCACAGTGCCCACCCCTTACTCATTTTGAAGCACACCATGACACACAGCAACTTTTTTTTAATAAAATTATAAATGAGAGTGAACTCTACATCCTGACCTGCAAGTTGCTTTTGTTTCACTTCCTAATGTGGTAGATACGTTTGCTATCAATGTGTATGGATCAAATGAAACTCATTATTTTGTTGGCCTTGCTGTTTGCACATGGAACAAAATCCAGAGAAAGGGCATACAGAGGAAAAGGTCTCCTTCCCAGCCTCACTTCCTACACTAAGTCCTCACTGCCCTGGAAGGTTCTGCACCTTATTTCTCTCCCTTGCCGGCGTGTCTTGCTGAGAGTTCCAGGTCAGCATGTGTAGGTGCCTTACCTTATAGCAGGCTATGGAATCTGGGCTTTAGATTATTTCCAGTTAAAGGCAATGCTACGGTCACCGTCTTATTCCGAAGTGACATCGCACATGCACTGCATGTTTTTTGGAGAAGTTCCTAGAATGACGTCGCCAAGGCAGAGGGTGTGCGTTTTCAGATCTGTTAGATCTTACCAAATTGCCCTCCACCCTGTACATCCCCACTTCTCCTATCACCAGCAGTGGTTGAGATTGTCTGTTTCCCTAGATAGCTCATAATCCAAGCATACTGTTTGATCTTTGCCAATTTGATAGGAGGAAAATTATTTCTCAGTGGGGTATTTTCATACTTTGAGTAAAATTGGATCTCCTTTCACATGATAAGAATCCCTGAAATTCATTTTCTGTGAATGACTCACGTCATTGGCCCATTTTTTTCTATTGGGTTGTTGGCTTTTTCATTGTGATTTCAAGGAGCTCTGTATTTATTAAAGAAATCAGCATTCTCCCCTGATACTTATCAAAAACGTTTTTTTTGGTAGTTTGTTATCTTTTGACTCTTTTTTCATCTGTGAAGATTTTTAAAAATGTGCTGTCAATGCATCAGTCTTTTAGGACTTCCAGGTTTTGTATTGCTCCTAGAAAAGCCTTCTTTATTCCAAGATTATAAGGAACATTATCTTGTGATTTGTGATAAAATACGTTGTAAACTGCAGTATATGTGTACACAGAGAAGTGAACTTTTTTCTAAGGATTTTTTTTTTTATTTATTTATTTGAAAGAGTTACAGCAAGAGGTAGAGACAGAGAGAGAAGTCTTCCATCTGCTGGTTCACTCCCCAGATGGCCGCAAGGGCCAAAGCTGAGCTGATCTGAAGCCAGGAGCCAGTAGCATCTTCCAGGTCTCCCACAAGCATGCAGGTGCCCAGGAGTTTCAGAAACCTGGGGTGGGAAAACTCCCTCCATTCAGACAGGCACCAGAGACCTTGGAGGATCAAGCAGTTTATGCCAGCGGGCTCAGCTGGAATCATTTCCCAAGAACTGAGCAACAGTGCCAAGTTTATTACAATATTTATAGGTTCATCAGCATCATGCCTTAGCTGTTACAGCATTGGTGGGCTTGAATTGCAGCCTATGTGACTTAGGACCACACTTCCAGTGGTCGGTGGGTCTGGTGTGTTTGTAAGAGAGATACCAGGGGCAGGTTTATTAGGACAGCTCCATGACTGGAGTTTACAGAAGCAGAACTTAGGACATCTTCCCTCCCTAGACAAGATCACAGTGGGCAGCTGCTTCACTAGCTAATTGTGAACAACTACTTTTCAAGGTCTGTGTTCAGAGGAGGTGTCTGCTTTCTTTTCTTTGTCTCTGTGGCCATATTTCCTCTACACTAGAACTTGGGTCATCCTCCGTTGCTTTAGCAGGGAGCTGGATCAGAAGTGGAGCATCCGGGACTCAAACCGAGGTCCATATGGAATGTCGATGCTGCAGGCCAGGGCTTTAACACACTGTGCTGCAGCACCAGCCCAAGAAGTGAACTATTATTACTCTTAAGAATAGTCCTGACCTACTCTTATTCTCTGAATTCATCTAAAGGAATTCTTTGTTCAAGGAGGGCCCAGTGGGGTATTGGATGCCGAGGATTGGAAAGCCTGCATCAGGCCAGTCTCACACCTTGGGCTTCTGGACCCAAATTGACTGCGTT